AGTCTTTTGGAAATAATATATCACAGATACCTTCTATTTGGCATGTTTTTTAAGTGCAATTTACATACCAAGAAATGCTACAATCTTCAGAGTATCATACAGTTTATCAAGACACAGAACGTTTCCATCACTTAGAGCAGTGGTTGGCAAACTCATTAGTCAACAGAGCCAAATATCAACAGTACGACAATTGAAATTTCTTTTGAGAGCCACATTTTTTAAACATAAACTATATGGGTAGGTACATTGTTATTAACTTCATTAGGGTACTCCTAAGCTGGCCTTTGCTAAAACCTCAAGGGGCCAAAGAGCCGCATGTGGCTCACACTGTTGAGTAATGAGTTTGCCGACCACTGACCTAGAGAGTTCCCTTGTACCCCTTCCCAGTCAGTACACCCCCTCCCAAACGCAGGCACTCATCTGATTTCTATGACCATGAGTTAGTTTTGCCTACTCTAGAATTCTATATGTTATTTCCTATGGTATATCTTTTTTGTGTTCAGCTTTATTTTTCAGATTCATCCATCTTTTTGCATCTATCAGTCCTCATTCTTTTTCATTGCTGAGTAGTATATAATTTATTCACTGGAAGCCTGGTGCACGAAATTCGTGCAAGAGTAGGCCTTCCTTCCCCTGGCTGCCAGCACCGGCTTCCCTCTGGCACCCGGGACCGGGCTTCCCTCACAGCCCCAGCATCGTCCAGAAGGACATCCGGTCTAATTAGCACATTACATTTTTATTATTATAGACTCTCACGTTGATGGGCAGCTGAACAGAATTGTTACCAATTTCTGGTTATTAATAAAGCTGCTGAACATTCTTGTTCAAGGTTTTTATGAATGTAGCATTTACCTTTTAAAAATTCATTAACTACTTTTTGTTTAATCACACTAAATTTTTAGTTTGTGTATTGTTCTCTAGGAAGTCCAAATATATGAAAGCCTGAATTTGTGCAAGAGATAAATGATTTATTTCCTAAAATAAAATTTTAGAAGAAATTTACTGTAGGATTTCATTAATGAGCTTCCCTAGTGGTTTGAGTCATACTACAAACAATCTACTTGGGAATATCAGTTACTTACTCCATTTGGAGTTTCATTCATATGGATTATTCCCTCTTCCTCACTTGTGTGAACATGTATATTGTCTTTACTGTAGTTATTTACAGTCTTTTGGAGGAAGAAAATTACTTAGTCAAATGTATTAGCCTCTCTCAGCCATGTTTAGGGACTTGAGTTTTGAACAGTGTAAATACTCCTTTATTGGGGGCATGTGAACATTCTAAAAAGACATTTACAAGGGTTAAAAAGTACAGTGATAAGAAAAATAATTTTGTGCAAAATACCACATTGGAGGTGTGTGTGATAAGAATATGGTGATGTTAAGTAAAAAAAAAAACAAAAAAAAAAAACAGCATTGCCGAACTCCTCCACCCGAATGCCTGTGATGTTACTTTCTATAAATACTTTTTGAAACATAAGAGCTTTGATCCTGTTGCCAAAATAATGTGAGACCCTATAAATTTTCTAATTATAAATGACAGTAGTTTAATTTTATTCTGCTGCGCCTTCTGTCCCACCCCCAAGAGAAAGATGGTGTGGCTAGATCACTAGAAGTCAGTGTTGAATGACAGCACATACCATTTCTCCTTATTGTGGGGAAAACTGCTGTTGCTCTTCCCCTGGAGAACTGGTGCCAAGTCCTACCAGTCTGCCTCCTTTTATTCTGTGCCAGACCAAATGGTCGGACTCGCCTGTCCAGAGCGAGGCTAGTCAAAAGTGGAAGTTCTTTTCCTCAAATGGGGCATAAAGTTGATTTTTTTTTAAAGCCAGTTATTTCGAAAAAGCTCTCAGGAGAGAGAAGGAATTTGGAATTCAGTTTTGCATCTCTTGCTCAAAGGCTAACAGGATTACTTGCTGTATGATGAGCATTTTAATATTGATTATACAATGCACATGTAAGTATATGCCAACTGCAATCATAAAGATTTTTGCTTTAATTTCTGACAAAAGTGTCTAATTTTGGAGAGACAGTAATTACAAATAGAGTTCTTTGCAACAGCTCTAGTTTGCACATTTAAAAATTCAGATTCTACCTTTAGGTGGCAGCACCAGATACTTTTTCCTGTTGTCTCACTACAGCCTTAATGAGTTATGTATAAGCGGGGAAACTTTCAAGTCTCCCAAAACTTCAAAATAAGCTGCTTATTGCCAATTTTGTGAGGACAAAAATTATGTTGAGTAAGTTGGGGGCCTGTTTAAGCCTGGATTTTGACCTTAAAAAACATTCTGAAGGCAGTGATCTTTACTTTCTAACATGACATTATATGTTTTCTTTAAATATTTCATTTAGCCCTCTGTGATTTGCCTGGTGAACTTATAATTGTCCTCCCAATAAAATAATCTTTATGACATTTTTTGTATTCAAGCAACTTGTCCAAGGATCATTATATACCTAATATTTTAAGGTAATTAGTGTCTTTTCCCTTTATATATTAAAAGGTTAACATTGACTTATGACCATGAGTGCTGAGATGAAAAAGTTCCTTCTCTTGAAAAAAACCAGCTCGGGAATAAATTTAAAGTAATTAGCTAGGCCAGTTGGCTTTGTTGTTTCCAGGGGCAGATAAGTGTTATTTGTGGAAATGGATGTTTAAAGTAGACATTTCGTAAGACCTGACTTTTAAAATAACTTTGTTGTCGAAACCGGTTTGGCTCAGTGGATAGAGCGTCAGCCTGTGGACTGAAAGGTCCCAGGTTCGATTCCGGTCAGGGGCATGTACCTTGGTTGCGGGCACATCCCTGGTAAGGGGGTGTTCAGGAGGCGGGGTGATCGATGATTCTCTCTCATCGATGTTTCTAAGTCTCTATCCCTCTCCCTTCCTCTCTGAAAAATCAATAAAAGGTATAAAAAAATAAAAATAATTAAAATAAAATAACTTTGTCCCCTTGTTGGGCTTTTCACTATAACAAGCGAGGTAGCCTATGGCCAGCTTTGGCTTTTCAGCAGGCAGCCTGGCCCATGCCTCGCATGCACTAAGCGAACCTGGCTGGGCCTGGAGAAAGCTTTCATTGCTCCCCTGTCACAGCCTGGCCAGTTCTGTACATGTGCAAAGCTAGGATCATTCCGTTCCTTGATTTTCAGGTTGTAAGAGTATCTTGCCTTTTCGAAAATCCTTGCTTATTATTTTCCCTTACTTTCTGATTAATGGTCTGGGAAATTGATGAATAATGGTGTCATCAGAGAAAAGATGAAGCTGCATCTTCATAAAGGAAGACATTATGTGAATTCAGTTGGATTCATAACTAGAGTTAAGACATTTGCAAGTTGCCCTTTACTACAGAGACAAAATGGCATCATCCAACAGGCATGGTCTCTCTCACTTCACTCCTCTACCCCTCCCTCACACCTTCACTCATTTGCTATTTCTCTTAAGGGATTGCTAACTTGTAAAATAAAGATGTACAGTGAGTCTTGGGGCCAAGTGACTTACGTTGCAGTAATTTATGTCACGCACCAAGAACAATTTTTTCAAGTTGTTATTGAATGTGTATTTTTTGTTCTTATTATGCACTAGCTTCTTAGAAAATACTCACTTTGATGAATTCCTACAAAGAGCAGCTATCAAGTGGCTGTGCAGCATGAAGATGTGTTTCATTTTGAGTGAACCTAGTCCAGACTAAATGATGTTCATCCACTCTTTAATCTTTTATCTGTATGACATTAAGTATTTATTTAAAACAGTTTGTCCTCTATTATTTAAACTGCAAAAGTGCATGATTGGTGGTTCTACATCCATTTTGCAGGTGAGTAAGCTGAGACTCCAAACTTATTCTTTGTTCAGCACCTTCCACTGTGTCAGAGTTAACCTCATGTAATTACTAGATGTCACTTGACAATTGACCAAATAAGATTTAGCATCTTGTCACCGAATTCTGAAAACATCTGCTAGATTATCTACCAATGCAGCTGTTGATAGAGTCAAAACAATTTTTAGATATTTTTGGTATTTGAAATTTTTGCTTAGTGAAGTTTTATGTTTATTTACCATTATACAAAAATAGGTATGCTTGTTTTCCTTAGACTTCTAAACAGCCTAGAATTCTTAGCTATTACTAAGGGGTACTTTAAAGAAAATATTATAAGATATAGTATAGAATAATTATCTTGAAGTTTCAATTCAAATAGTGAGTTTTGAGAGATATGCTTTGACCAAGGGTAAATTAAATTGGTTGGCCTTAACATATTTATTTTCTCAAATAGTCTGGGCAAACAAGATAGCATAAACTATATATCAATTGGTTTATTGTGTCATTTTGATTGAAATATGGAAGGTATATTTGGTTCCAGGATTGTTAGGGACATTTTGGCCTATAGAATCTATAAAATCATTTTCTTGCACATATTCTATACTTTTGAATTCAGAATACCAAAAAAACCCATGTCACGTTTTGTCTTATATGCTGCTACTGAATTTTAACCACTGAATTAGATTGCAACCTACATGCTGTTAACTACTGAGCCAAGATGGAATCGACCACTGCATTGAAATCAGGATTAGCAATTGTGTCTGCACTTGAAGGAGTTGTAATAGCAGTGAACTTGTTTTCTTTAATGGGGTTTTTATTCTCTATTTTCAGTTTTAATGATGATTCTTTGATTTTAAGAGATTTTCTTTACCACAGTGCACATTTATTTGAGATTTTCTTTATAACTTTAAGAAAATACTAAAACCATCCTGGAGAAGTCATTAGTTGCTTCCAAACCCAAATGTCCACTAGCATACACCTGCATTGTTTTAATGCTGCTTATTTTATTTATAATCTCTTATAAAAAGAGCCCTTTGTCCATGTGATAGGAGACTATCTTGAGTTCAAATGATTGTGTGTGTGAATTTAAAATTATTCTTTTGTGAATTTTTTTTTCCCCCTTGGGCTTATTTTTTGGGTAAAGGAATTGTACCTTTCTAAATTTGCTTTTTTTTTCTTTTGCATTAATAGGACTCGATCCCACCCAGTTTAGAGTTCATCATTATCATAAAGATGAAGAGAACGATGTTCTACTTGGTGGCCCAGCACAGCTCACCGATGAAGAGAAATACAGGGACTGTGAGCGATTCAAATGCCCATGCCCTGCATGTGGGACTGAGAATATTTACGATAGTGTCTTCGAGGGTTCGGTTAGTTGTTTATTTTTTTTTTTTTCATTTTGTGAGCAAATTGACATACAGGCCCTTTCTCCTCCCTATTTGTCTAAAAAAGAAGAAACACGTTGCTTTTATGTATTCAATATTGTTTTTGGCTTCCTAGAGTGTTTGGCCTTGGTTTCTAAATGGAATCTCTTAAAAAGATCTAATTATCTTAAAGTATTTTTATTGTAATTCCTTAATTAGTAACCTGTATTTCCCCACTCCCAACCCAATTTATTAAGACTTAGAGCAATATTTTTCTGTATCTTAAATCAAGTTAATGGGAACTAAGTGTTTTTGGAAAGTTTTTGTTTATCTTTACACATCCCACTTGCCTCCTTTTTGACAAAGGTACTCCGATTATCGTTTCTGCTGTCTTTGCATGTCAGACATTTAAAAAGTCACAGGGAGACATTCCTTTCAAGAAGTACTGCCAAAAAATGTATCATTGACCTTGGATCAGAACTTGAAATGTGGCCAATTTACTTGATTCTACTGCAGGGTTATATGTACTAGCCATTGGCAGTACATATAACCCTGAGTAGGCAGCAGAACCATGGAAAACCTTGAAACTGAAAGAAAATGCTTCCTTTATCTAAATTAAAAGTAATTATTTTAAGTTAATTTGGACAAACAGCAGATGTTTTGAATTTTTTTGAATCAAAACAAAGCGGTCTTTGGAAGCAAGTGCAAGGAAGAGGCAGACGCAGATCAGCAATACATGCTAAATCCTTGAGTTTTGCTTCATTACAGCTGTAAATAAGATAGTTAATTGCATGGAGGCTTGACAACTTGCAGATGGGCTAACTGGAAGAGCCGATGTCAAGCTCTCAAATCTCTTCCACCTGGAATTGCTTAGCGCGGTGGGTAGGGTTATGTACCAGATTGGAGCAGAAACCAAGATGTTTAAGTATCAAGAAGGAAAACACATGGTCCAGAAACCCCAACAGTTTCCCTGTATGTTTTCTTTGTCTCTGCTGAAAACAAAACAAAACAAGACGTTTTCTCTAAATACTGATAGTTAATTCTTGCAAATGTCTACTTCTCCTGCTTTCCCTCCCCCAAATGTGTTTTAAGGGGGGTTAGGAATTTTCTTTTTTCTAAGCTGACAAAAACTGATTGCTTTGTGGTGTAACACTTAAATTTTAGGCTTTGTTCTTAAAATTAAGATGACAATATGAAAGCAAACTAATGTCATTAGCGCACTTGCTGTATCCTCAAGTTTGTAATGAATAAGGGCAAATTTAAAATTTTGATATGTCTGAAAAGGATGTTTCTTTCCGATAATGTCACTTGACTGGTCTTTTCACAGGGAAAACTCATTTATCCAGAGAGTCTGTCATTTATTGAGTGTTTTAATAAAAAGTGATATTAGGGTTTTCCCTTTGACTTCATGCTCCATTATGATGGTGGCAAAATGTGGAAGTTATATGTGACTCAGGAGATCTTTTGGGAGGAAAGCAGTTGAGGAAATAGAGTTAAATGAAGAATATTGTGCACCAGGACAGCATATAAGCTTTTAAGCACAAGAAATCTTTTTATAATCTTTTGTGTGCTTGTCTGACTTGAATTCTATAGGGAACCGATACGGAGCCCAGCTTGTATCGCTGCAGTAACATCAATTGTAAAGCTTCACCTCTGAACTTTATTGTACAGCTGAGCAACAAATTGATCTTGGATATTAGACGCTGCATTAGGAAATACTATGAGGTTAGTATCCATAATAACTTTCTTACATACACAGCTTATCTAAGTTTGGAACTTGTTAGAAAATGAAACAATGTAGCTTTGTATTGCTGTTTTTTTATGAAACTAAAACTTTTTAAAGACTTGAAAGTGGTTTGACTTTCTATTGGGTATTACATCTCTTTCATTAATGAGGATTATTCTAAATAGTGAAATTTTTGCTTTTAAGGAAAAATGAGACTATAACCAGGACTTTTTAAAATTTATTGTTACCTAAATAAGACCACATTAAATTGGCCACTCACATTAAAATGGCCACTCACATCTCTGGGCAAAGGAGGAAAAATTAATATTGGTTATCTTTAACCAATAGAAGTAGAGCCATAAACATCATGCGTGATGTTTTTAGTAAGTTAAAACTTTGTGTTTATGTGGTAATCGAAACCATTTCATAGCCTAGTTGTCCCAGGAAATAAAACTAAATATCTTTTAAATTTAAATGCAATTTGTCTGGCTTATCTGATTTTTAAAATACATAGTATAGTTAAAATACCAGAACAGTAAGTGATCTGTGTTAGAAAGGCTTTTATCAAAGTTTCTGTTTTGTTTTTAACAATTACATATGAATGGGTTCTTTTCTCTTCAAAAATTAAAATTGAAAACTCCACATTGACCATTTGTGTTTCATTATATCATTTGCCATCTAAGCAAAATTGCTATTACTTGAAAGTTCTCTGTAACTTATTTAAAGAAGCTACATTGGCAAGGCATTCCAAAAATGCCAAGATTCTATTAGGGAAGGCCTATGACTTTGTTCAATATCTTTCTATAATGTCTACTTGTATGCTAATTAACATAGCATTTTCTTATTTAAAATGGATCTCATTAAATGAAAACTGAGTATTAGATCATTAGGATGAAGAATGAAAATAGAGAGTTCCGGTATTTTGACTTTGGAGTTGAATAACTTGTATTTGTAAAATAAAAATAAAAAACAGGTTTGTCTGAAGATATTTTTAAAATAATAATTATGACTACATTTTGGGAAATCTGAAACATTTTAGTGAATATGTTGTGCTGTGCTTAATGAACAGTTGGATGGGAATAAAGCATATTCCTAGGTTCACATTCCCCAGTAGAGAAGTGTTCCGCGCGTGAAATGTTAGGCCTTTATTTAGCATGAAAAGCCCAAATCAAAACTATTCAGCTCCTCATTTGCAGACCTCACGGTGTAGAGCATGATTCTTGACTCTTGTGAAGAATTCCAAGTTTTCTTTCTGTGTTTAGTCTATCAAAATCTTCACCATGGAAATGTTAATACTAGAAGAAACTCATCTATTTCCTTCTATAAGAAGGGATGATCTGTTTTGACTAAGTTGGGAATAGGCAGAAAAATGATCTTCTTTGTAGTTAGAAATATGCCCTAACTGAAAGATGGATTTCTAACCCAATTATTTGTGTGTCCTGGTGGTGTTGGTGGTAGTAGTTATATTTTTTAAGCTAAATTACCTAGTTTTATGAATCTAGACATTCAACCCAGGGTTTCTATAGCTTTTGCTTCCATTGTCTTCTCTGCCAGCCATCTCACTACCAGCAAGTAACAGTTTTCCTGTTGTTACTGCCCACGTGGTTAATTTTCCTAAAGGATTTCTTAGGAAAATAACCAAATATCGCTCTTAAAGTTGAAGATTAACATAACTATCCTCAAAATTAGGGACCTGTACCCCTACTGTCTGATCTTAGTCATATATGATTAGATGTGAGAGGAAGAAATCCATTATTCTTTTCATGGCTTCAAGGTTATGTTTCAAACATTGTCAAGATCAGAGCTTTTATAAGAGAGCTCATGCATCTCTAGGTTCTACTTCATGGGTAAACTATTATTCTCTTTCTGCCGAAACCGGTTTGGCTCAGTGGATAGAGCGTCGGCCTGCGGACTGAAAGGTCTCAGGTTCAATACCCATTAAGGGCATGTACCTTGGTTGTGGGCACATCCCCAGTAGGGGGTGTGCAAGAGGCAGCTGATGGATGTTTCTCTCTCATCGATGTTTCTAACTTTCTATCCCTCTCTCTTCCTCTCTGTAAAAGATCAATAAAATATATTTAAAAAATAATAACAACAACAAAAAAAAACCTATTCTCTTTCCTCCTCACCCAGACTTAAAAGAACTTCTGCAGGTAAAGGGCATTGAGCTTCTTTTGTATTGTGCCTCAAGTGATAGTGATTCCAGTTAGTTCAGGGTGATGTACCAGAGTGGTGGTAGTCCAGCTGGAGATTAGTACATCAAGTGTACCAGAGACAAGGATATTGATAGTAAGTATAGGCATACCTTGTTTTTTGTTTTTTTTCACTTGCTTTATTGTAATCCACCAATGTTGTCTGTTTTTTTACAAATTGAAGCCAAGGCTCTCGGTCAGCAGAAAGATCACACTCATTTTATTCTAATACTCTCTTTTGGGGTGGGGGTTGTCAAGTAATATTTAATTGAAACATTTTTCTTTGTAGTTCTTAACTAGCCGGACATTCCATTGCACCATTGTTGATATCATCTATGATGTTATAAGTGTGTCTGCCATCAACATTGTAGCCCACAGACTGGGCAGTCCCCAGGTTCTCTTGAATGGTTCCAGAGAGTTCTCTAGCTAAAGATCAGTGCCACATCTGTCAGGCAATGCTGACAATCTCATTAAAAGTGATATTTGCACTGTGCTTAATGTGTTTTTGGTTTATTTGTTTGTTTGTTTTGTTTTTTGCTTCTTTCTGTCTCTTGGTGGTTCTTTGAGGGCTTTGATGATCAGGGCAGAGGCAGAAGGGACTACTTCAATCTGGGCCTGTCTGTTTTGAGTTGTCAGTTTCACTGTAGTCCTCAGACCCTTCCAATCACCGGTTGCTTTGGCAATGTCATCACCAACAGTTTTTGGAGACAGGCCCGGTGGGGGGGCAATCTTGGGGTCAGGGAAGATGTGGCACCTACTTCCCCACCAATTCCCTCAGGTATACGACTTTGATTTCATTGGAGTTGAACTTCAGTGGCATGGTGGAGGGGCTGGTGTTGGATAAACCCAGATTCTGGACGACCTAAGGAAGTTGCACCTGAGCCTCCTCCGAACCGAAAGCCCAATACTGTCTCGAACCCACAATATCTCTGAGGTATGCCTATACTGACATTTAGTGACTGTTCTCTGAAGCCAATGACCAAAGGGGTTTCCTCCTGTTTGCAAGTTCAAAAATACTACCCACTGGACATAAAAGTTACTAGTAAATTAAGAGCAAGTCTCAATTTTTTTTTTCCATTTTAGTCTTAGAATCACTGTAGGGAAAGGACAACCTACACTGAGAAAGGAAGGCATCTCCATAAAGAAGGAACTTTAGGCCTGGTCAGCGTGCCTCAGTGGTTGTGTATTGACCTATCAACCAGGAGGTTACAGTTCAGTTCCAGGAACCTCCCCGGGTTGTGGGCTCAGTGCCCAGTGGGGGTCATGCAGGAGGCATCCGATCATTGATTCTCTCATCATTGATATTTCTCTCTCTCTCTGAAATTAATAAAAATATGTATTTTTTAAAAAAGGAACTTTAGGAAGACATGGAGGAGTAGGTAATTGACCAAACTCTGTACCCTGTAAAGAAACCGTTCTAGATTGCCAATAAATTGAATTGTCAGGAACAAAGGGGCAGAAGTTTAGAGTAACAAAATATCCTTCTAAGTCTCTTTTATTTTCAAAAAATGCATCACATATTCTATTATTTTCTGTCATGAATAAACAGTACTGAGTAAATAAATATGATATAATAAATATTAAAAATGTAAGTATCTGAGACTCAGTCTATATGACATCGTAACATGTTTCTTAAAATATATTTTTATTGATTTCAGAGAGGAAGGGAGAGAGAGAGAGAGAGGAACAACAATGATGAGAGAGAATCATTGATCAGCTGCCTCCTGCAAGCCCCACACTGGGGATCTAGTCTGCAACCCAGGCATGTGCCCTGACTAGAATCGAACCATGACCTCCTGGTTCATAGGTTGACACTCAACCACTGAGCCACGCCGGCTGGGCTCATATCGTAATGTTTTAATACTGACTCTTTTAACAGGAGAGGAAATGCTTATTTCTCTCTCCCCATATAGCAATGATTATCTCTCTCGAATTCTCATTTCCTAGAACATTTAAATTTCAATATACATAGAAATACCAAAAGTACCAAGCAGGATATTTTAAGTAAATATTAATTTCTTTAAGGAAAAAAAACTCTACTGCTTTATCCCAAGATTTGATGAAGCACTGAAAGACTTGGAGGTAGCACAGAAACCTCCAATTCAAAGTTGATTTTCTGCCCTGGTCCTTGTTGGTCCCTCTGTACCAAGTTAAAATTGAACTTGTATTTTTTTTTTTAAATCACAGAAAACCAGTTTAAAGACTTCATCTCTAAGCTTTTAGGGATGTTTTTGAAAGATTCTATTTTAGAGTAAAAAAATTGATGTGTGTTCCCCCTCCCCTTAAATCCTGCTTCAGCAGAGCAAATACACAAAAAGGGGAGAGAAACACTAGCTAATCTAAATTGGGAAATGAAGAGGGCTTTTTTTAAGCATGAAAATTTCATCATCTTGTCAGCTGGCAGAATGCCTGCTGTGTGGATTCACAAAGGCTAAGAATTACACTTTCATGAAATTTTCCTCACTAACTGCCCTGGTTAATTTGAAAGATAACCCACTGTTCTAATTCATTCCTCAATTGGGCGGTGCAGGTTTTATCTTTGATCTGACAAAGCATTTGTGTTAATCGTTTTGGCCCTCCACTAGACACTCTTGGGATTGTGCTTTTACAATAAATGTGTCTGTGATAGCTCTTTAGTCTATTATACTTACAATAGATCCATAGAACTGGTAATTAATTCTCCACTGCTTTGGAAATGGGAAGAATAGGTATAGCTCTGTCAAGTGCTGCTAGGAAGTTTGTTTAGCTGGTTCATTTTTGAAGTGTTCCCCTCAGCCATCCATGGAGCAGCCGCAGAAGAGAGTCTG